TTTTCTTAATTTAACCCTATAATTCTTTTATTATTTTGCTTGTTAGAAAACGGATAATTTGTTTTATTTTTATGCAACTTATAATGCGACCTTAATTTACTAATATTAGTTATATGAAAATTATAAGTATGATAGATATTAGAATAAAATCATAATCCTGTTTGTATTTTTTTAACCTATGATTCGTTTGTATAACGAAATTCCACTCTACGTATATAGTTATAAGATCACTATTTTTCTTTCATAAATAGTAACTTAGACCACCATTATTCTTTTACTCCGTATCAACTTTAAATTAATAAAGTAAATCCAAAATTATAGGGTTAAAAATAACGGTGGGAGTAATAGTAAAAAATATGACTTTATAAATTTTTAAATAGTTAAATGAAATATATACATACTACCAAGAGTGTTGCATTACTAAAATTAATCTAATTGAATAATATTAAATCTTTATAATGAAATTTCATTATCATATGTCTTAATAATAGAGTTATATGTATACACTACTACAATGATTTTTACAATAATAATGTAGATATTCTACAAGAAACTATAATGCACAAAAATCAAAATTATCAGAGACATCTCTTACAATCTTTAATTTTTTTTCCCTACTATTGTAACATTATAGTTGACTTAGGGCCTATTCTTTGATATACTGAACTGAGCTGAAGTGAACTGAACTGAACTGATTGAAGCTGGACTGAACTGAATATTTTATGAGAGAAGGAAACTAGGAACTGAAATGAACTGAAAATAAGCTGAAGAGAATAGGCCCTTACTTTTCCAATAATTTCTTTCAATTGGCGCATGGACATAATCCCTTCAAATACAGAATAATTAATATTAAGTTACAATTAAGTTGTTTAACAAAATTTAATACGATAAGTAACATAATTAGATTAGGTAAAATAAAACAAAACATACATCTTATAAAATAATGAATAACAATCAATTTATTTTGTTTACCATCAGAAAGCCTTGATATACTTACATTATTTCCAATATTTTTTGTTAATCAACGAATTAGACCTGAAAAAAATTCACATCATGAAAAAGTGTAGATAAATAATATTCACATGTTTGTGTTTTTTGTATAGTATATATATATTGTCTATTTACAATTGAAAAAAAAAATCAAAATTATATTTTTGAGAGGATGTATACAAATCTTTATAATACCATCCTATCTTATATATTTGTGGAATAGCAAATAAATCTCTTATAAAAATTTCTATCTAATCATGAAATGGGTTGCTAGATAAGATAAAAATTGAACATTATTGTTTTTTTTTTTTTTGAAGAATATTGATAAAGACTGAACGTTATTGTTATTTATTTATTTTGAAGAATATTGATTTTTTACAAAAAAATTGAAGAATATTAATTAATGATTAATAATTTATATTTCTTTTAAAATATTTTTAAAAAAAATAAAAAATTGATTGAACGTTGTCTTAAAAACAAAATAAACATATATTTTCCTTTTTCAAATATTTAATTTTAAAGTGTTTGTATATAGTAATTGTATAATTTACAGTTTTTTTTCAATTTAAATCCTAATATAAAAATATCATCTTTTAAAAAAGATAACTTTTAGTTTTAAAATAATTTAAATCTTAATAAATCATTATTCGTTGTTTTTACCTACGTGGAATTTTTTTTAAATTTAATTTGTCACTTTTGCTTATGTGGTGAGTGAATTTTTTAATTCTAAAATAAAATACAAATCCAACTTTTAAATGGTCGAAATAAAACCGTGCGATGCAATAATTATCATACATATATCTCAAGAAAAGGTAATTTTCCTATATAATCTATGGTTTTTTTTTATAATTATTTGATTTATTTTACAATTTAATAATTTCAGACAAAAAAAAAGCAAAAATTATTTAATTAAAATGATATTGCCAATTACAAAAGTATAATTTTTTAATGTAATTTATAATGCGACTTAATTTAATGTTGTTTTGTATTTTATTTGTTTTTGGTAGTTATACGACAATAATATGATATCTTTCAAAAAAAAATTGTAAATATGATATTTCATTGATTAGATATTAGGATAAAATCTTTGATGTGAAAAGATAATAATTTTTTATTTTTAAAATAATTTAAATCCTAAATCATTATTCGTAGAACAAAATCAAAAATAAAAATAAAATAATAATAATCAATTTTGAACAAAATTTTAGAACAAAGTTGACTTTAATTGAGGTATGAACGTAATCACCCTGTAATTAAAAATAAAAAATAAAGTTTATTTTATGACTTAATTAAGCTACCTAAATCACAAAAAATTTGTTTTAATCATAAAATTAATTGATAAAAACTAAAAGATTCATTAAAAGATTTAATAAATGTAAACGATTTAAAAAGATATAATACCTCCTCATCCAATAAGATCATCAGGCGAGAAACTCGTACTTTGATATTCTAAAGATTTTTGCTCTAATATAATTCTCTAATTAAATTAGATCTGCATGTAAAAACAAAATTCAGTAAACATATAATCATTAAGTATCCCAAATAAACACAATTTAAGCAATAATCACAAATATACATTTAAACATGGTTTTTAAAAATCAGGCTAGGAATTACCCAGCCATTGATGGCCTAATAAAACTGACACAAAATTAATGACACAAAATTTGCTTGGTTTGGTTTTGTATTGATACAAAATTTTGTTGGTGTCATATGATAAATCAATTTATAATGGTAAATATCACAAATTTTAATTTAATTATAATTAAGGAATAATTTTTATTTCTTATCATAAACACTATCAAAATTTATCTTATAATAATAGGTATATAAATCCTATATCTAAAGATGATTATTTTAAAAGATAATTTTTAGTTTTTTAAAATCCTAATAAATCAATATTCGTTGTTTTTACTTACGTGGCAAAATTCTTAAATCTCATTCGTCACTTTTGTTTTGGTGGCAAACGAATTTTTTAATTCCAAAATAAAATAGAAATCTAATTTTTAATTGGTCGAAAATATACCTTTGCTTATGTGGCGCGCCGAATGCTCTCCAAAAATGCCTACTTTATTTATATATATTAGATTGTAAACCTTCCTTTACTGCCACACCTCCAGTAAATTAAATCCCCATGAGTGTTGTCTTTTTGTAAAGCATGAGTCTCAATTTCACGAAGTACATGCCGTGGTAGCATGTCAGCAAACAAATTCCACTTCCACCTAGCATCTTCGTCCCACATCTCTTGAACCGTAGCTCCCTCAATGTCAAACAGAATATCAGCAATTGCTCACTCCCTCAAGGTGGTAGCACACACCCATCTGTGATCCCAGGATAGTGTGTTTGTACCATTACCAACAACAGTTCGGCCCCCCTGTGCAATTCTATTTGCATTTTCAGTTATTCCCTTTCAAACGTTCAACATATTAGCCTTGGATTCGAACATATCGATATCACATCTCCCCTTACAATACTTGCTTCTTAACACACGGGACCATAAAGGCATTTGGCTCGGTAAGGATCCTCCAACCCAATTTTGTGAGAAAAGCAGAATTTAGTTGTCTCGAGTTCCTGATGCCTAAACCACCATTCTCACGAGGTTCCTGAATTTTATCCCATGAAATGAGATGGATTCGGCGTTTTTCCTTATCACCCTCCCATATAAATCTTCTAGTTCTCTTATCAATATCATCACAAATCATTCGAGGAATCCTGGCAGTTTGCATAGCAAAAGAGGTCATGGTTGAAATTGTTGACTTTGTAAGAGTAATACGACCTGCGAGAGACAATCATTTCGACTTCCAACCCGCTAACATTATTTCACATAAATACCCAAAGGTATTCTTGGTCACTCTACTTGTGAGGATGGGTATCCCTAGATAGGTGCCAAGGTCTTCTGTAGCTTCAATATTTAGAGCCCTGCTTACTTCATATTTTTTCTCTTCCCCCATATTTTTGAAGAAGTAAACTCAAGATTTTGCGTAGCTGATTCTCTGACCTGAAGCTGCACAGAACCTCTCTAAAACATTGTTTCATATTCACTACTTGATCACAAGAGGCCTCCGCAAATAAAATGATATCGTCGAGAAAAGCAAGGTTTGACAAAGTAGGACCATCTATACTTGCTTTTATTGGTTTCCACCGATTCAAAATAATCGCTAAATCCCTGTTACTCACTGTGAGTAACAAGTTTGTTACTCACAGTGGCATTTCGGAAATTAAGTGGAAGTTTTCCACTTCTTGAGTTGCTGAGTTGGATTCGTGTATGTGGGTCAAGTTGCTGACTGTACCTGGAGTATTGCTGAGTGGGGGACATCCTTCCGTCAATCAGTTGGATGGCGTTACCTTCTTGACGTTTTGGCAGGAAAATATTTACAGCTTCCATACTCAGAAGCTTGTTCAGAGAATTAGCAGGTAGTTTTCTGATCTTCACTCATCGCCGTTTTGTACAGCTTCCAGAACCAGTAAACAGACCCAGTTGCAAACCACACGAACATCTTTGAATTACGAGGTATTTTTCCGATCTATTAAAGCGTCGCATGTTGCAGTGGTGAGTTTTGTTCAGTTGTTGTCATGCGCCCACAATTCATGAAATTGAGCTCATAATCTCGACCGCAATCGGAATAATTTTGAATGTAATTGGATTTTAAGGACTTTTTTCTCTGTTAAAATGGGGTTGAGGTTGACGGAAATGGCCGGAGGATTTTGTTTAAAATGTAATTTTTTACTCTTTCAAAACAACGTGTTGTCTTCGTATGTTTTTTAAAAAATCCTTGTGTTGATTTGTGAGGTTATGTGAAAATTGGTTGTGTTGGTTGGTTGAATCGTGTCGGTTGGTTATATTTCTATGTTGGGTTGAATGTGTGCTGTGAAAACTTGTTTGTTTGATTTGTGTTGAATTTTATATTATAATTATGTTGGCGTTCTGTGTTAATTATTGTCATAGTAATTATGTTGGTGTTCTTTATTTGAAGGGTTAATTGTTTTTGTTGGAGAAGATTGATATTATGGAAATGGAAACAGAAAGCGTTATAAGGGGCAGTGAGGTTGGTGTTGGTGATTGTGGCAGTGGAGTTAAGTTTCGGAGTAACGTCCATATGGAGGAGGATATAGAAGACGTAGATGATGCAGGTAGTTGTGAACTTGACATGGATGTTAGGTATTTATCCCCCCTGGAAACAATTCATACGACTCACACTGTGGTTGGTAGCAACAAAATAGCTATAGTTGTTAAGGAGCCTAAGGAAGGGATAATTTTCCACTCTTGGCAACAGGTTGAAGCCTACTATAAGGACTATGCTGAGCAGGTGGGGTTTGGAGTGACAAGGGCTCAAGGTGTAAATTCTAAGACGGGGGACCAAAAAAAAATCACAGTCATGTGGAAGTGTGAGTGTTGGGGAAAACCCGGCATGAAGGCTTGGAGGGAAGCGAAGAAGAGGGCAAAGGCAATGAGTCATGGAGGTTCAGGTGGTTTAGTTGATGGGGTGGTATGTGAGGATGAATTAAGTGGTATGAAGAGGACTTTGAAAAAGTGCGAATGTGAGGCCCGTGTTTATGCTAAAGTTAACGAAAATGGCTTGTGGGAGTTGAAGAGCGTGGAAGTAAAGCATAATCACGAGATTGATCCGACAAATTCTGAGCTTGTTAAGGAGTACCGCATGAGGCAAATGACCTCCAAAGTGAAGAAGACGTTGACGGATTTGTACGAGCAAGGTGTACCAATTTCTCAAATACACGGTTTCATGGCGACCGAACGAAAGGGTAACATGGCTCTAACAGTAAAAGATTTACAACATGAGGTGTACAAGGCTAGGCGGTTGAAGATGGTTGGAGGGGACTCGGTGGCAATGATGGAGTACTTTGACAAAATGCAAACCGGGAACCAAAATTTTTTCCATGCTCAACGTTTGGATGAAGAAGGGAGGCTTAAGGATGTGTTGTGGGTGGATGCAAGAAGTAGGGTAGCTTATGAGGACTTTGGTGATGCGGTTTTCTTCGATGCAACATACCTAACGAATGAGTATGAGCTCCTGTTTGCGAACTTTGTTGGTGTGAACCACCATGGGCAATCGTTGTTGTTGGGATGTGCTCTTGTTTCACATGAAGACTGCGATACATTTGCGTGGATATTTCGACAGTGGTTAGCTTGCATGAACAACCGAGCTCCTAAAGCCATATTGACCGACCAAACGGCAGGTATGCGGAGGCCCCTTGTTGAAGTCATGCCAAACACGGTGCATCGTTGGTGCATATGGCATATCATGAGCAAGATCCCTGAGAAACTTGGCAAGTGTGCACGGTATGTTGTGAAATTCCTCCTCCTGGCTTTACTATGTTCAAGGTCTTGATATTAGTTTTAAAGGCGTAATAATCTGATTCCCATATTAAAGACAAGCTAACTTGTTGTTGTTGTTCTGCTGTTATCATTTCTGTCTAGTTACCAAGAGTTCGTCAACCCCCTCAAAGAGCTGGTATATGAGAGCTTTGACCCCGGGGAGTTCCAAACCCGATGGGTAGAGTTTATTGCTGAGTATAAGTTGGAGGACAATGAAGGGCTACAGAGCCTACACAAAGAGAGTCATATGTGGGTGCCTGCGTACGTGAAGGAGTTTTTTTGGGCCGTTATGAAGACCACACAAAGGGTGGAGAGCATCAATCGATTTTTTGACGGCTATGTGAACCGCAAAACAAAACTCCATGAGTTTCCTCAAAAGTATTGCATGGCCTTGGATCAACGCGTTTGAGATGAACTGAGTGCAGATGCGCGTTGCTCGAAGTACCTTAGGAGGTTGGTTAGTGGATTCAAAGTCGAAAAAATATTCCAAAAGTTATACACGGACAACAAGTTTCAAGAAGTTCAAAAGGAGTGTACGAGAATGATGTATTGCAATGTCCGAGGAGAGAAGGTTTTGTCTGAAAAGCTTATTCAGTATTCGGTGGTCGATCGTGTATGGATAGTACCTCCCGGTGCGAGTGAGGATGTCATTACAAACAGGCGAAGATCCTACAATGTTACTTTCTGTCCAATGACAAAGGAGGTGCAGTGTGACTGTAGGAAGTTTGAGACAAGTGGCATACTTGGCAAACACTGTATTAGGATTTTGGATGAAAACTTGGTTGAAGATCTACCAGAGAAGTACGCTGTAGACTGTTGGAGGAAGGACATACCCCGGAAGCACACTAGGGTGAAGGTGGCCTACCATGATCCGGGGGACACGGTCAATGTGAAGAGATTCAACAAAATGATGCAAAAACTCGAGCCTTTATATGAAACCGCTGCCATGGTGGACGATCAAACGGTCCATATGGTAATTGAAACACTATCGAAGCTTCAATTAGCTGTTAATGAGCGTAGGGACAAGAAGAGTAAGGAAAATGTTCCTATAGTTAGTACATTGACATCAACCCCTGAAGGCAGAACGTTTTCCTCAGTTAGGAATCCTGCTGCTGATGCTACTGCCGTAGACTCCTGTCCAGCTGCTATGGACCTTGTTATCAAAGACCTTATAATTAAGAAAAGGAAAAGGGGCAGGCCTAAGGGTTCAAGGCACAAAACGTTAGCTGAAACTGGCTATAAGAAAACCAACAAGAATAAGAAGCCTAGCTCGGTAAGATTTATGCTATCTTCAATATTTAAAGGGTCTGACTGTTTATCCTGTTATTATTTTCTGAATGCTGTTATATCATACATACAGGAGCATGCAGGAAGTGGTGTTGAGGAAGATGTTGGAAATGGTGGTGAGGAGGAGGAAGCAGCAACAAATGGTGTTGAGGAGGATGCAGGTGTTGAGGAGGAGGAAATGGTGTTGCAGGATCTGGTGTTTAGGAGGAGGATGCAGGAAAAGGCAGGAATGGCAGAACCCGGTAAGACAAAGGGGAAGACAACAAATACAGGAAATGGTGATCGTGGTGAGGAGGATGCAGCAGCAAATGGTGTCGAGGAGGATGCAGCAGCAAATGGTGTTGGGCTGGATGCAGGTGTTGAGGAGGAGGAAATGGTGTTGCAGGATCTGGTGTTTAGGAGGAAGATGCAGGAAAAGGCTGTAATGGCAGAACCCGATATGTCAAAGGGGAAGACAACAAAGGGGAAGGGGAAGGCAAATACGTCTTCTCGGAAGCTACTTGTAAGTTTCAATACTAAATTTATGTCATTCTACCTCAGTGATTATTTATATGACATTAAACACATCGCACCTGTCACAGGTGAAGCAGAAATGTCTTGATGAACTAATGGCCATTTCGTGACCATTTGAGTTATGAAGGAACAGATTACGGGAGCATATTTTTTCCAACAGTTTGTTGTTATGTTACGGGAGCATATGAAGAACCGTTTATTGCTTGAGCATATGAAGAAACAGATTACGGGATATATTGTTTGTTTGAGCATATGAAGAAGCAGATTACGGGAAAATATTCCTTTCAACAGTTTGTAACACTGTTAAGCATTTGAAACATGTAATAAAAATCATCACATGTGTCTTTCAGATCATATATAAGGCGACAAATATATATACAGACAAAGGTTCAAGGGATTGAGCTCGTTATCAAGATGGGAGTAAATTGATTCACTTTTTAAAACACGAGACTTTAAATGCTTTGAGTATCTCTCATTTTCATGTTTTTAAAAACAAAAGCAAAATAAGCATAACATAGTACACCTCAAAATTCAGGATATCGAGTGTAGACAACACAAACTGATCAAGTTCAAACAGCACAAACTGTAGTCCTACAAAGACACATACACCGAGTCTGTTAATACACGTTAATGTACATAATACGATCATCATTGGAGGAATGGAATGTAAATGACAATATTACAATTGTTTGTCAGTCAACAAACACCAACACATCACAGTTTTAGCGATGTTTTCCTAGGGCCTGGAATCGTATCTCCCAGAAAGTCTTTCATTTCGTTCACTTCACACTGCATGTCGTCTAAGAACATATTTGCCCGAGCAATAGGAATCTTCCCCTGTAAATGTAAGAACAGAACAAACACTTTAGCCAACCATTCCAGAGATCTTCACACAAAAAACAGATATAAAAACCACTCACCACACTGAACCTCGTGGTGAATCTTCTTGCAAAGAACTTAATACACGCCAGCATAAGAACACCGTAGTATGAGCTGCATATTGGAGGACAACAATCAATACGAAAGCTGAAGATACGTTCTCCTGACCTTAAAGGTAGGCTGATAGTTATTGACACAGTAAGCAAACAAGGAAACATAGGTTCTTACTTATCCTTTGGCTCTAAGATGTCAACAGTGCATCTGCTCTAAGAATGTAGCTGACCAACCTTCCATGCTGGGTCACAAAGTCGGAAAAGGACGTCGATGCCACTAAGCTGTAGTTTGACAAACACATTACACATTACCAAATGGTCCCAATAAATACCATGGTTGTTTAGAATGAAAGTCAGTAGTTGTAGTACCAGAAGATCGATCTCTTTGGCATGTGTGGCGAACGGGTGAGAGTACATGAAATCTATCATCCACAACTGTTGAGCCTTCATGTGTAATGATGCTAAGCACCACCAGTGCGACTCGTCAGGGGAATCCTGAGGAACTTCGAGGACTGGGACAAACACCTGGTTAATTGACAATGTCAATGCCGTAAGCACAATTTAGCGCATATGCATGAAAAACACATGTAAACCTATGTATTGAACTATGTGAGTAAGTTGCTGACCGCTCGAATATCCGACGGGTTAAAGCTCAGGAGAAATTTGGCATACTTGTTACAAATATGTTCTTCATTTCCTTCATTCAACAACAGTCGATTCTACGATCCAGACAATAAAAACAACAAGCATGACCATCATCAAATGTGCACGTAAAATGACACCCGGAAGGTGAAATGAACCCCGAACCACTTACCAAAAAGCTTGGGTCAAGCAAAATACGCTTGCTCCTGTTCCAGAAGTCTTTGGTGGCCCATTGCTTGGTGTATAGCACACTGGACATTCTAACGTAATTAGTGGAAACCCGTGATTTATTGTGCACCACTTCATAGCAATCCCTCTGGTTGGCTTCCATGTTATCACACTTTATCATCACCATACCAGGGCTATGCGATGAACCATCATCATAACACCAAGTATACACATAAACATATTAGAATTTACAATTAAAACAAAAACTTTGCAAAAGGCATGCACAATAAAAAGACTTTTCACACTCAATTACACTTTTCTGAATTGCCTAAGTGGATCCTTCAGTTCCTTCCACCGCTTTACAAACTGCAGCAGACGTGTCTCCACCGCTGTATGGCGACGGGTGTTTGACACATTGGTGAACATGGCTGACAAGGCTGCCTCGGTAGGTTTCACCACCCTCTTCTCAGCAGACTTATCTTCCTCATCAGATGAAGATGACTTTTCCAAACTGCACTGAGGATCAACCAAGACAGTTGTTCCCCTCGTCCCAAGCAAGCCCACAACTATTTCAGGTCCAAGCTCCACGGTCCCATCTTCCACTTCAGGATCAGAACATGTAACACCCCAATAATTCTCTCTTTAAAACCTGTATTAACCTGTAATAACCTGTAGTAACCTGTAATCACCTGTAAATACTTTTAATAACCTGTGAGAGAATTACTGGCGTGCTACCGCCACGTGTTCAAACGTTAAGGCTAGTTTTAGAAATCAGCAGCGGAAAACTAACTTAGTTTTAAAATGAATATAAGTTTCAAAACTAAAAGTCTAAACTCAATTTAGTCTTACAAGTTGGAACCATAACGTCCCTTATTCAAAATCCAGTAAAATAGGAAGTAAATGGAATTAGAACCAAAATAAAATTCAATCTATGACATAAAATAAGCTAAGTGATCAACCAACGCTCCACTCAAATCATCACCCTGATGCAAGTCAGTTTATGCAATAACCTGTGATTAATCTGCTCCCTAATTTTACAAGTGTAAGAATTGGATCATTACAGGGTCATTGAAGGCGAGGCCATGACCAAGAGAAACACACAAAAGCACACAATCAGCAATGCTGAGTACATACAAGCTACGAAATATAGTAAAGAGTCTTAGCATGATACTATCAAGCATTCCATACACTCACAATATAATCATTGACTCGAACACATGACTCAAATGTTACTTATTACTAAGTTTTCTCTAGATAGAATTGATCACTTCATTAATTTTATTGGATTAAGCAATAGACCAAGTTGTTCCCCTGTGCTCCATTCCGGAACATTAAATAAGAAAACCCTATGCCTCCTTTTGGAAGACATTAATAAACATCCAATGGTAGACGGGCGCGACTCCGTGGCCATAGCTAGTATGAGATCTCATCTAACTCATTATAATTTTAAAAGAATTTAAAACAAGAGACTCGTAGATCAGACGACCTCTGAAAAGTACACGGCTAATACCCCGTGTACCCTAACCCTTGTTTGTCAATACTCTAGATGTGCACAAATCCAGAGTTTTATTGCTCATCCATCTTGCACTTTATATAATTTACCAGTTTAAACTTGGTGATGACTCAAATGCAAAACAATACAACCAATCATACCTCCATCATTCCAACAATTCAAAATTCCAATTCAATTCTTGATTTATTAGTGACAAACAATATTTAGTATTGAATCCTTTAACTACCTCGGTGTATAAACACCTTAACTGCATAAGGCACCTCAAATCTTGACCTCGTCTTATAAGACTTTAATTCTCCTTTTACTCATTCCATTTCAATAAACATGAACGAGTATTAAAATAATTCATTCCAC